TTTTTTCCACGTTACCGAGCATTTGGTAAATTACCGTAAATTACCAATTTTTCCGGTAACGTTACCGGTAACATTACCAGCCGTCGCAACCCTAACCTTCACCGCGGAATGCACCAAACAGGGCCCGCGCCGCGCGTATCTGCTGCTGCAGCCGCCGGGGCAAATCCAACTGCCACTGCCAACCACTAGAGCGACCTGTGCAGTGACGTCAGTGAAGCCGGGTGGAGCCGAGAGCGCTCTAAACCACTTCGCAACGTAATAAGCACACTTCTCCCCGCTCTCCTCTCTGTGTTTTTGCCAAAGCACCAGGTGTACTTTTTGTTTTAGAAATTTAAGATTTATTATTTTTTTAATCCAGTGCAGCCGTGTTGAGGAAACAGGAAACCGGCTTGAATAAAAACAATGCGAAAATGTTGCACAATACGGGCCTAAAACGGGGTTTCCAATAATGAGAAATGGAAATAGAATAACAGTTTGCAATCCGCTCTGCTTTTCGGCAACACAAAAGAGAATTGGTTCGCGGATCCTGGGCTTTGGGGTATCATTGTGAGGAGGACGAACGGGCCAGATGCCAGATGGGTAGAATCAAAGCAGCCAATAACAAGTCCGGCCCACACTCGCCACACGACTTTCGCCGCTTCACAATGTGCCCGCGGCTCGCGACACGGCGGGGTCGTTTAACCACAACAAGAGCGTCGCGTGCCGAAATAAATCCCGCAAAGCAATACAGCTGAAAACGAAATGATGTAGAACGAGGACGGGAATAATCGTAATAAGGGGAGGAGCAAAAAGGAAACGACGGCAATGTTGTTGGCAGGAACGCGTGTGTTGCTCTGTTCTAATTTTGTTTTACGAGTTCGTCTCGAGGTGTACGTCGCCGAATGACGAGGTAATTAATTAGTAAATAACTAGTGTTGTCGCCCACAAACACCTACATGCTGACGGTCGATGACGGTGGTACAGGAGCTCCGCCGGGAGACGCGAAAGTTGGATTCAACGGCCGCAACACGAGACGATCCCCCGTGCAAAGCCGCCAGCCAGCTCAGCTAGCCCGCATGCTGTCGGCGCCCCCAAGGCAAGACCCCTTGCTGAGACGGCACCACGATGTTTCGCACAGTTTGTTTCCCGCCACGCCGAACCATACGCCGCGTGTACCACGACGAGCCGACACAAGGGGGCGAGCAAGAGCAGGCAACCAACTTGTAATAATAGAGGGCGCACACACACATACACACACACACACAGGCCGGTATCAGCGGAGGAGCAGCGGAGGAGAGCGAGGGAGCAGAAGGGTGTGAAGGGAGCAGGAAAGGGGGGTTGGGCCGGGTGGAGACCCATATCCCCCCACCCCCTCCCACTACCACCACCTCACGCCACCAACCCCCCAACAGCACAACGATATCAGCTTCACCGCGGGTTCCGCTCGACGTCTCTCTCT